GGTTTTACATGAACTCTCAGATTTTGCCAGTGACTTACGGGTTAACCTGTAAGTTTCATCAAAACCTTGGAATGTAATTTGTTCAGCCTACAAGTGGTGGATTTATTTAGAGAAGTCAGGTGTTCTTTTATAATCTTTACCTTCAGTTCCCTCTTACAGTGTTTGTTTTGTACTTTTTATTTTGAATATGATTCTTGTTACTAGGAAAGAAAGAAATGGATTATTTATTAATCACTGCATCATGAATCCCAAGTAAGGGACATTTCTTTCCTTGCTTTTTTCTAAGACTTCATCCTTTTTGGCAATTATGATACAAATTATATACTATATAATTCATCCTTTTAAAATATACAATAAATTTTAGTATAGTCACAGAGTTGGACAACCATCAGTGTCAAGTTTTAGAACATTTTTGTTATTCCAAAAAGAAACTCCATTTCTGTTGGTAATCATTCTTTTTTCTTCTCAAATTAACCTCCTAGCTCCAGAAAACCACTAACCCTTTTTCTAGCTGAATAGACCTGCCTATTTTCAGATTTCTTCTGAATGGCAGCATATGATATGTGGTCTTTTGTGACTGACTTCTAACACTTAGCATGTGTTCAGGTTCATTAGTGTTATAGCATGCATGCACTTTCTCCTTTTTACTGCTAATTGTATGAACATATTACATTTTATTTATCAGCTCATTAGTTGATACACAGTTCTACTTTTTGCCTCTTTTTTGTTTGTTTGTTTGTTTGTCTTTTTTCTTTTTATCGGTACTGGGGATTGAAATCACAACTGCCTGCTTGCAAGGCAGGTGCTTATGCTGCTGAGCTAAATCCCCAGCCCCTACTTTTTGCCTCTTATGAATAATTGCTGCTATCTATGAACACTGGCATCCAGCATTTTAGGTGGACATGTGTTTTTGTTTCTCTTAATTATATATCTGAGTAAAGCTGGGTATATACCTAAGAATTGAGTCGTATCGAGTCTGTATTGCCAATGTTGCTGCACCATTTTATATTCCATTAGCAGTGTAGGGATTGTACTTTTCTATATGATCATTTACTGTAGTCTCATTCTTGATTATAGCCATCAAACTGGGAATAAAATGACATCTTATTGTGATTTGACTTGTATTCCCTGATGTTTAGTGATACTGGCATCCTTTCACATACTTATTGGTTACTTGTATATATTTTTGAGAAGTTTCCATCTAAAAGCTTCAGCCAAGAGAAGTGGTGCACCCTTGTAATCCCAACCGTCAGGAGGGTGAAGGAGGAGGATCACTGTTAATTTGAGGCCAGTCTGGGATACAATAGTGAGTTCAAGGCCAGCCTACATTACATAGTGAGATGCTGTCTCAAAAACAAAACAAACAAAAAATTGCTGGCTACAGTGGTGCACACCTGTAATCCTAGCACTTAGACTGATGCAGGAGGATCATTGCAAATTTGAGACCAGAATGGGCTACAAAGTGAGCTCAAGGCCAGCCTGCACTGCATGGTGAGACCTTGTGTCAAAAAGGCAAACAACAACAACAACAACAAGAACTTTGCCCAGATTTTAATTGGGTTATTCCCTTGTTATAAGAATTCTTTAGTTTATATACATAAACTACATACAGTCTTCATCAGATATGTGGCTTGCAAATATTTTAACACTTCTTGTGGGTTGTTTTTGTTGTCTTTTCATTTTCTTGATACTTTCCAATTATATTATTAATCTTCTTTAAGTATTATTTTAGAAACCCTTTCCCTAAGCAAAAATATTTTTTCTTTTCAAATCTATTTTATTTTAAAGAGAAAAAACCACAAAATTTCAAAACACAATAATTAGGGGGTAATAATGGTATATACATTCCATATTGTTATTTTCAAATCAGTTACTCAGAATGCAAGATATCTGCATTTAATTGTCCGAACAATACTAGCACAAACCTTTCTCTTCAATGAACTCAGACAAATCAGTAATATAACTTTCTTAACTATCTTTTATATAGTTTCTTCCAGCCTCTCACATGTGGAACAATACAATGTTTACAATGCATGCCTGATTTATTTCACATGAGTATGGTGACAAGTTGCATCCATTTACCTATAAAAGTCTCCAGTTTATCCTTCTTTATGGCTGAATAGTACTCCACTGTATAAAAATACCACATCTTTTTTTATCCATTCCTCAGTGGATGGGCATTTAAGTTATTTCCAAGATCTAGCTATTACATATTGTGCTGCTATAAGCATGGGTACACAGATATCGCTATGGTATGATGCTTTAATTCTTCTGGGAAGATTCCCAGAAGGGGAATAGCAGGATCATATGGGACCTCTAATCCTAGCTTTTTGAGGAATTTCCACACTGATATCCACAGTGGTTGTAGCAGTTTATACTCCCATTAACAGTAGAGGAGGATTTCTTTCTTCTCCAGCATCTGTTATTGATTATTTCTTGATAATTCTATTCTTTTCAGGGTGAGATGGACTCTCAGCATTGTTTTAATTTGCATATCTTGAATGATCAGTGATGTTGAATTTTTTTTTTTTGTACCAGGGATTGAACTCATGACCTTGCGTTTGCCAGGCAGGTGCTTGTGCCACTGAGCTAAATCCCCACCCCAAACATTTTTTCATATATTTATTTGTTGTTTATATTTCTTCATCTGAGAAGTGTGTATTCATTTCAGATGCCCATTTTTGGCTTGGGTCTTTAAATCTGGAGGACTGATTTTTTTTTTTTGAGTTCTTGATATGTTCTCCATACTAATTCTCTGTCTGAGGAACAGGTGGCAAATATTTTCTCCCACATTGTGGGTTGTCTCTTCACTGTGTTGGTGGTTTCTCTTGCTGTGCAAAAGCTTTTCAATAAGATGAGATCCCAGTTAATTCTTTGTAATAGTTCCTGTGCAGTCATGGTTTTGTTCATGAAGTCTTTGTATACACCAGTGTCTTCAAGAGTTTTACCTACTCTATTTTCCAGCAGATTTAATGTTTCTGTTTTAATATTTAGATCTTTGATCCATTCTGAAATTAGCTCAGTGCATAGTGAAAGATACGGGTCCAACTTTAATCTTCAACATGTGCAGAGCTAGTTTTTCCAGCACCATTTATTAAAGAGGCTATCTTTCTAGCAAAAATATTTTAATACGTATTTTTCTTGTCTTTTCTTTTTTGGTACTGGGGATCAAATTCACAATCTTGCACTTGTCAGGCAGGCACTTATGCTGCTGAACTAAATCCCTGGCACTACATGTCTTTCTTGACTTTGTATCAGTTGAGTAATGTTAGCTTATGGTAGAAGTTTAACGTATATGCATTAGTTTTAATTGATATGTAATATATAACACCCATTACATTAAGTGAGAACTGGTATGTTTGAACTGGTATGTTTTATTTTATTTTGTCTTTTTGAGACAGGGTGTTGCTATGCAGTTCAGGCTGGCCTTGAGCTCATTTTATAGTGCAGGCTGGTCTTGAACTTGCACTGATCTTCCTGTCTCAGCCTCCCAAGTGCTGGGATTATAGGAATGTGCCACCATGCCTGGCTGTGTTTTGTTTTTTGAGACAATGTCTCAACATGTAGTTCAGGCTGGCCTTCAACTCACTGCAATCTTCCTACATCAGCTTCTTGAGTGTTGGTATGGCAGGTGTGCTCCCAGCTGTGAACTCTTTACTTAAAAAAAAAAAAGGAAAACTGGAAAAATAAATATCCCCTACTTTGTTCATTCAGTTAGCCTTTGTAGAAAAGAAGGATGGCAAGATTATGTTTCCAAAGATACTCAAAGGAGAAAAGTGCTAAATATACAGAAACTGGGGCCTGGGGATTTAGCTCAGCAGTGTAAGTGCCTGCCTGGCAAGTGCTGGGTCATGAGTTTGATCCTGGTACCAAAAAAAAAAAAAGTGGGGGATTAATTTAGAGAAAAGTTTAAAAGTAAACCATCAAATTTAAAAGTAAATCATCAAAGATGACATACACATTTTCAAGAAGATGCCAAAGAGAAGTTCTCCAAGGTGGATTATGTTATCAGGAGCAATGAACTGGCATGGTTGTTTTCTGAACAATCCGAGATTTGTTCTTGACAAAAGGCTTTTGTTTGAAGGCATTTTCTTATCACTTAGTGAGGCTTTTCCTAGTTTCCTCACACTCATTAGATAGAGATGTAACTGGTGACCTCAAAACATTCTGCGCAACCTTTTGCTGAAGATGTTACTAATCCAGAAATCTAGTATCTTTTAGTTATTAATTTATGCAAAAGTTATTAAAACTTTCTGTTTAACAATGTCTAATCTGTTTAATCTTTCACTCCAGACTGTGATCTTAGTTTGATATAAATATCATGTTTAAATTACTCTAACCATGCAAATTATCTAATTTATATTAAGTATTTGGGGACTAATGTTTTAGCTCAGTGGTAGAGCACATGCTTAGCATTTTTGAAGCTCTGGTTTCTTTTTTTAGTTTGTTTTTTGTCTTTTTGAGACGGGGTCTTGCTATGCAGTTCAGGCTGGCCTCAAGCTCACTTTGGAGCCCAGGCTGGTCTCGAACTCTCCAGGATCCTCCTGCCTCAGCCTCCCGAGTGCTGGGATTACAGGCGTGAGCCACCACGCCTGGCAAAGCTCTAGTTTCAATGCCTAGTGCATCCTCCCCCGCAAAAAGCAAAGAAAATAAAAGAAAAAAATAGTTGTAGAAGATACGAAAGTATGATTAGATTATGATGAATGATTGAAAGTGAGTACCCTTCCTTTTACTCTCCCTTTCCCCGGCTTTTTGTATGAATTCAAGTAACAAACGCTGTCGGATGCTACTCCATGTATATTATTCCTGTTACTCAAGTTGTTTGAGTTTTCCTAATTTTTATTTTTCCTTTTTGGCTTTTTGAGACAGGTTCGCCATGTAGTGCAAACTGGCCTTGAACTCAGAATTTAGGCCAGAGTGTTTTCATAGTCACAGCACTCCTTTTGCCTCAGCCTCTGCAGTGCTGGTTACAGACCTGTGCCACCACTCGTGGCTCAGACTGATTGAGTTTTTGATTCACAAATTTGCGTGTCACCCTTGTGCAGGGACCATGCTAATCTTCTCTGTATCGTTCCATTTTTAGTACATCGTCTGCCGAAGCAAGCACTGATTGATTGAGTTTTTGGGATTGAAGCCATTTTTCCTATTTTTATTGTAAGCTCCTGGAAAGTCGAGTATGTATCTTATCCTTATAGCTTCCATAACACACTGCTTTGCACAACATTGATATTTAAGCACAGTCGTATTAAATGAATACTGTAATTTTTGTATTTAAAAAAAAATTAAGATAAAAGAGAACCTAACAAAACAAGTCAGAACAGAACAGTTTAAACAACATAGTGTTTCACCACAAGACAATCCAACATAACAGTAGCTACCATAGTGTCTCTTTCCCTGAAAAAATTGAATATACCTTCATATACTATAGTATCAAACATAAAAAGATAGTGTAAAACCATTCAAGAGAATGAAAATATTACAGGGTATTCAGAATAAACTAACAGAAAAACGAATAAATGTTACTATATTATCTCCTTGTCTATAAAATACTTTGTTTATACTATCACATATAATAAAATGCAATAAGATACAACATGATAAAACCAATGAAAAAGAAGAACAAAAGCTTGGTGGGACTTCAAAACAAGATGATATTAAATCTTCACTAGCTATTATAATGTCTTGTTTTCTTCAAAATAGCTGTTCATACCAACACAGACAATAAAATCAAATAACCCAGAATAAAACCATTCCAATTAATGAATAAAAACATTATAAGACTTCAAAGTAATATAATAGGGAATCATGATTACCACATATTTTTATGTATTCTTACCACTTCTTACACTAGGGAAACTATACAGTATTTATACATGTGAGTGTGATTTATTTCGCTTATGAGTATGGTCTCAAGCTGCATCAATTTATTTATAAATATCTCAATGTGATCATTCTTTATAGCTGAGTAGTACTCCATTGTATAAAAATACCACAACTTTTTTATCCATTCTTCAGTTGATGGACACTTAGGTTGTTTCCAAGATCTGCTTATTACAAATTGTGCTGCTATAAACATGGGTGCATATATCACTGTGGTATGATGTTTTCAGTTCTTCTAGGAATAATGCCTAGAAGTGGAATAGGTGTAACAAATGGAACCTCCAATCCCAGATTTCTGAGAAATCTCCAGACTGACCTCCACAATGGTTATACCAGTCTACACTCCCACCAACAGTGCAGGAGAGTTCCTTTTTCCCCACAGCCTCTCCAGCATTTGTTGTTGGTAGTTTTCTCGATCCTGGCCATTCTTTCTGGAGTGAGATGGAATCTCAGTGTGGTTTTAATTTGCAATGAATAGTGTAATTTAATAATTTCAAGCAAGAATTTTGGATTAAGAATATTTAGTAAGATGTTAGTATTAAGTATGAAAAATTAATAACCTTTTCCCCTAACTTTTCATTGGTATTACTAACACTTTGTCAACTGAATTTCCAATCTCTCTTACCACAGGTTCTGTCTTAAAATGGGGATAAATTGAAAGCAAAGCTCCCTTCTATCCATTTCCCTTTACAGGTATATTTACCTTTTCATGATGATTCATTCTATTTCTTTATAATCACCAAAGTTTCATACAACTCTGTTTCCTTGTCACCTGTTCTTTCTGATTCTGGGCAGTCAGCCTGGCTTTTTCTTCCACTTGTCATCTCCTTCCTTGCCCTCAAGGTACTTGGCAGAAATGGGTAGGGTGGAGCCCAGCTGGGGTAGGGGTGGAGTTACCGATTCACTGCTCCTTTCGAAACTGACTGAGAAGGAGCTGAGCTGCTCGCCACTAGCTGGGACTGAGGTCCCCATGGCCTTCCCGCTGGAGATTAGCCTTCTGGAGGACAAGTGGGACTTGGTAAGGTCGGAAGCTGGCCATCTCTTCTTTATCTCACGCCTTTTCTTCTTCTTTGTTCTACATTTTTTACTCGTCGTGTCTCTCATCATACCACTAACTTTTCTTCTTTCTGTTGTGTCATTTACTGTTCCCATTATTTTCTGGTTGTTGGTCAACTTTATTTAGTATTTGTCTCTCTTATTACCCATTCTTTTTATGTATCTGTATTCTCTCTCAAAATTCAACTTTCCTACCTCTTCTCCTTTATCCCTCCTTTTTTGTTTTATCTTTTTTCATCCAATCATTTTCTAACTACCTCTATATTCATTTTACTGTTTTCCAGAGAAATAGGAATAAGAGAAGGAAAAGGGAGCCACCCTTCCTTTCCAGAGACCTGTTTGGCTTTTTCACTCATTTTCAAACTTGTAATGTGTTTTGATTAGACTTTGAAGAAGAATTTGTTCTGAGTGGATGGTTAATAAATAGTGAAGTTGGAGTTAGGTTAAATATTAAATGTAAAAGGTTTAATTTTTCTCCTCTTAGTTTTTTTCTGCAATTCAGTGGATACAGTTCATCATGGCTACTCTGAGGTATGTTTATTTAATCTTGTTTAATATGACTGTCTGAAGTGATATAAGCAAAACCGGAGAATTCTGTAGATTCTATATTTCCCCCAGGGATTTGATATTATTCTTTAGTTAGAGAGAAATGATATCCTTTACTGTGTTGATGCTTCCTAATAAAATGCAATGACATCAGCAACAGAAGCAAAAACTGATTTAAGGGTAACATCTGAAGTCAGTGGATAACCTGGTCAGCGTGATTGATTGATTGCAGCATCGGCAGAAAATCCCCCTTCATCAGCACATATATTAAAAAGTGGAGTTACACAGGGAAGATTGGCAAGGATAACATGTAAATTCATGAAGTATTTCCCTCTCTTTGTTGTTTTTTTGAGACAGGGTGTAGTGCAAGGTGACCTTGAACTCACTATGTAGCTCAGGCAGGCCTCCAATTTGCTGTGATTCTCCTACCTCAGCCTCCCAAGTACTGGGATGTCCAGCTAGTCTGTATGTTTTTAAATGCTTAGTTTATTTTACATCAATTATGTCAATAAAACAGTAACAAAAATCAATAACAAAAATGAAAGAGTCTTGTCTTATTTTAATGATTGCCATCTGTTTATCAGTGTTATAGGTTCAAGTTCACTTATTACCTATGCTGCTTTCCAGAATATACAGAAATCTCCAGAGGTGAGCAGTGTCTCTTTGTGTTGAGTCTGAAGTTTTAGTGTTTTAGTCATTGAAATAAAAGTGTATCTATAAATGATGAATAATTCTATAAATTGCTTATAAATTCCTCACTACATAAGACTCGTATATCTTAGGCACCATCAATAGTGCTTTCGTTTTTTCCCTTTATTTATTTATTTATTTACTGGTACCAGGGATTGAACTTACAACCTCATGCTTGCCAGGCAGGCACTTACACCACTGAGCTAAGCCTCTACCCCCTTCCCCTTTATTTTAATTTTTTTTCTTTCAGTATTAGGGATTGAGCCTCAGGTCCTTGCACTGAGCCATATGTTCCCCCATTTTTAATTTTTAATTTTGAGACAGGGTCTCACTGAGTTGCTGATTTGTCCCAGCTGGGCTCAAATTTGGGATCCTCATGCCTCAGCCTCCAAGGGCACTGACAATACAGGTGTGTATCTCCATGCCTGGCTAAGCTCCCTTTTCTAGGCAATTATTTAACTATAACTGAATTCTTAGAGATACCTATTGAATGTGGATTTCTTTGGTATGCATTGGTAATAAGAAAACAGTGTTGTGTGAAGCCTAAATTCTCTCTAAACATGGTAACATTCTACCTATCAGTGAATTTTCTGACTTTTTTTTTTTTTGGTCTTTTTCCTTTTTATCGGTACCGGGGATCAAACTCATGACTGCCTGCTTTCAAGGCAGGCGCTTATGCCACTGAGCTAAACCCCCAGCCCCTCATCCTTTTTAATTTAATTTTTTTTTTGTCTTTTTGAGACGGTCTCTCTATGCAGTTCAGGCTGGCCTTGAGCTCACTTTGTAGCCCAGGCTGGTCTCGAACTCTCAACGATCCTCCTGCTTCAGCCTCCTGAGTGCTGAGATTACAAGCATGAGCCACCACGCCCGGTTTAATTTTTTTTAAAATTTTGAGACGAGATCTCACTAAGTTGTGCAGATTGGACTTGGTCTTGAGAACTTTTTGCCTCAGCCTTCCAAATAGCTGGCATTATAGGTATGCTCTACTGTACCAAGAACTGTTAAGTTTTATTGGAGTCTAGTGATAAAAATAGCTTTTGTTAATGGAATACTTACTGTTACAGTTTAGATAGAAAATTTCCTCTAAAATCTTATGTATTTGGAAGGTGATTGGGTCAGGTGGGTGCTACAGTCATGAGAGATTCATCCAGTAGCTAACTGTGCTGTTAGGAAGTAGGGCCTCCCTGGAGGTGAGTCATTGGAAGGTTTTATTTCCCTATCTAGCTAGTCTCTTCGCCCTGTTTCTTGACTGCCATCGGATGAGTAGCTGTCCACTGCTCAGGCCCTTGCTTTATGCTGTTTCTCCCTTAGAGCCAGCAAACGATGAAGTCAAATCATAAACCAAAGTAATCCTCTTCCCCTTTAAATTGTGAGTGTTGGGTATTTTGTCTCCATGACAAGGAAAACAACTGAAACACTGTGTTCCAGCTGTCTTGAGTATTTGTATACTTCATCTCATTGTACTTTTTGACTCTCCTATCAGAAGGTTATTAGGCCTATTTCACAGGTGAAGAAATTGAGAAATTGAGGCTCAAAGTCAGGAAATGAGTTAATCAAGTTACATAGTAACTAGCAGAGCAAGAATTTTCAAATGTCCATACCAGTTTTTTGTTTTTGTTTTTTTCCCAGTCCTGGGAATGAACTCAGGCCTTTACCCTGAACTATACATCCCAAGCCATTTTTTTAGTTTATTTTGAGACAGGCTGTCTCTAAATCATTAGACTGGACTTGAACTTGTGATTCTCCTTACAGACTACTAGAGTTGTACCACCTGGAGCCATTACTGGAACCACCACACCCTGCTCAAAAGTCCATAATTTTAACTTCAGTCCTCCTCCAAATTAAAGAAACATGTTTGCATTTACTGTGTTCTCAATACATGTGCTCAGTGCTTTAAATAAATTTTCAACCAGGCGTGGTGGCATATGCCTGTAATCCCAGCAATCAGGAGGCTGAGGCGGGAAGATTGGAACAAGATGGAGGCAAGTCTTGGCTACATAATGAGTTCAAGGCCTGCTTAAAGTAGTACATAGCAAGATCCAGTCTCAAAAAACCAAAAAAAAAAAAAATTTTTTTTTTTTTTACTTTGAAAACTCAGAAAGAAGGGCTGCAGGTATAGTCATTGGGAGAACATGTACTTAGCATGCACAAGGCTCTAAACTCAGTCTTTAGCACCAACATTCAATAGCAGCAGTGGATACTAGTCAGCTATCGTAGACAGGAAATGGAATCTTAGTAAGATTGAGAGACTTTCCTAAGGGTAGCTAGGAACAAGTAGATTTGGAATTTGAATGCAGACTTACCTAGCTGCAAAAACATTGCTCCATGTACACTTTTAAGGGACCTTTTAACATTTTTTTTTTGTACTAGGAATTGAACTCAGGATCTTGTGCTTGAAAGGCAGGTGCTTATGCTTACCCTGGCCCCCCATGTACACTTTTAAAACCACTGACGTACTGCCTAATGAAAGAGAATTTTAAAGTTTCAGAACTAGAGTGTAACTATGTAAGTAAAACTAGAAAGTAATCAGTACAGTATCAGGCCCGTTCTTTTAGCTGGTTGGGAGATGGGGATCTCTTGAGCCCTTAAGTTTGAGGCCAGCCTGGGGAACATAGTGAGATCACATTTTGTTCTTTTGGTTTTTTTTAAAGTTTTGATAGTAAATTGCCCTTGTCTGTCAAGTAATTTTAGACCAAATGTTCCCCGGAGTAACATTTCTCTAATGTTTCTTTCCTTTGCTGGAGTTTGTGTCTCAATGTGACTAATTTAGTAAAGCATGAGTTACACAGTGGAGAAAACTAGGCTTCATTTCTGAAGTATAGTTTCTTAACCTCAGCACTATTAACTTTTTGGGCTAGATAATTGCTTGTTTTTGAGTGCTTCCATGCACAATAGGATGTTTAGCAGAATTTACTTGCTAAATATTAATAGCACACCTTCCCTTTTTCAGTTGTAGCAACACAAAATGTCGTTAGACATTGTCAAATATTCCTTGGGATGGGGACAGCTCACTCCTGCTTGCTCTGAGGTAACATGCTCTGAGGTAACATGACATGTTAGGGCTTTATAAAAATGTAGGGTTTAGTTTGGCTTAGAATTGGACCTTTCATTTCTGTGGCCTAATTTCTCACATAATTCACATTACCAGAACCTAAGGATCTTAGCATCTCCTTAGTTAAGTTGTTCCTACACTTTTTACTTTCTTGGTCTAGGAAAAATTTTGATTTTTCCAGTTCAGGTATACTCTACTATTTTCTTTAAATTTATCAAAGAACATTTTTTTTTTGAGACAGGGTCTCACCATGTAGCCTAGGCTGCCCTTGAACTCACAGTGATCTCCTGCCTCAGCTTCCCAAGTGCTGGGATTACAGGCCTGCACCACCACACTCGGCTCTCAGAGAACATTTGTAACAGCAAGAACATATGGAAAATAATCTGAAACAGCTTAAAATGGTCTATTGAATTAAAATACTGTATATTTGAGAGACTGAAACTGCAAGTTGGTGGCAAGCCTGGGTTACATGGTGAGTTTAAGGTCAGCCTGAACTAGGGGCTGGGGATTTAGCTCAGCAGCATCAGCACCTGCCTTGCAAGCAGGCTGTCGTGAGTTCGATCCCCGGTACCGATAAAAAGGAAAAAGACAAAAAAAAAAAAAAAAAAAAAAAAAAAAAAAAAAAGATCAGCCTGAACTACATAGCAAGAGTCTGTCTCAAAAAATTAAACAGAACAAAAACAGTATAATAATAATGGTGTTAAATTGGACAATAATTTGGTTTCACTTTAATAGAAGTATTGAGAATCAGTATTTTAGAAGAATATCAGTGTAAATTGTAGGTCTCTCACCTCATGAGGCCAGACCTGGTCCTGGAACTTCCCTAGGAGGAACTTTTCATACTTGTATTTTTTTCTTCCCACTATCCTGTTCAGTACTTGTTTTAAATTAAAAACAAGTATACTTGTATATGTAAGTGTCTTTAGAGAGTTTGCATTCATGTTTAAGACCATGATTTGTGCTTTTTTTGTTTTGTTTTTTGAGATAGGATCTCTATAGCTCAGATTGACCTCATTATAGTCCAGGCTGACCTCAATTCATGATCCGCCTGCCTCAGCTTCCGACTGCTGGGATTACAGGTGTGCGCCACCACGCGCAACATGTCTTATGCTTTTTTGAGTTTTCCTTATTACCAATGACTGTGCTGATTATATAGTTTCCTTAATAAAATAAGTTATACATATTTTTTCCTTCAATGTTGTATCTTGTTATACATAAAAAGATGAAATCTTTTTTGATTTAAATAATGGGCACTTAGTTAATCTTTGCTCTTTTATGAGAACTCATGGTGTTTTGTCATGAATGCAAGCAAAAAAACTCCTTTTTATCTTCCTTTCCTACTAAAAACCTCAGATATGTGTTAATGGCCAGCATTTCCCCATATGTAGGAATATGTCTCAGATTAATCTGCCTTATTTTTCCAGGGTTTATTTCATATTCAACCTTAATTTTTTTATCTGTTAATGGTTATAAACTTGTGCTAGACTCTAGGCCAGTAGAATTTCTGTGCCATGTGGCTGCAATTTTTTTTAAGATAGGGTCTCCCTATATAGTTCAGACTGATTTTTTTTTTTTTTTTGGTATGAGGAATCAAAATCATGACCTTGCACTTGCCAAGCAGGTGCTTAAGCCACTAAGCTAAATCCCTGACCGTGTTCAGACTGAATTTGAATTCACTATGTATAGTCGAGAATAGCCTCACATTTGAGGGACTCCTCCAACCTAAGCCTCCTGGGTGCTAGGATTACAGGCATGTGCCACCATACATGGCTGGCTGCAATTTTAACAGGCTTACCATAGGGTATATACGGTAATTATTATATGCTTGCTTGCTTCTTTCTCAATCTTTCTTTCCTTTCTTTCTCTTCTTTCTTTCTCTTCTTTCTTTCTCTTCCTTCCTTCCTTCCTTCCTTCCTCTCTCCCTCCCTCCGTCTCTCCCTCCCTCCCTCTCTCCCTCCCTCCCTTCCTCCCTCCCTCTCTCCCTCCCTCCCTTCCTCCCTCCTTTCCTTCCTTCCTTCCTTCCTTCCTTCCTTCTTTGTTATCAGGTGTCACTATGCTGCCCAGATTTGTGCTGAACTTGAGATCCTCCTATTGCAGCCTCCTTAGTACCTGGAATTTCAGACATGTGCCACCACATCCAGATTACTTTACATTTGAAAATGCATATTGTACATTATTTCAGTTGTTTATATTTCTGTAAGTCAAGGCAGTTTGACCATCTAAACCTATCAACAAGTTCTCAGCATTTTAACTTTCCTTTTATTGGAAAGAAAGATAATAGAAAAATCCTCTTCTATATAAGTGGAGAGATTTGTTCCTAGGTCGTGTCTGATGAGGATTGGAAAGTTTTTTAACATATTTTTTATTGTGAGATACAGAAAAGTACTACAGTGTATGAAATATGTTTAAAGAATGATTAGGAACAAATAAGAAATAGAACATTAACTGTACCTCAAGACGTAAGTTTTCTCTCAATCACATCTTGCTTCTTCACCTCTAGAGGTAACCAGTCTCTAGATTTTTTAAAATTTTGTTTTGCTTCTGTTGTTTTGTTTTAACCATTTTGTTTTTTGAAACTATGTTGCCCAGGCTGGCCCCAGACTCCCAGTGATCCTTATGCCTCAGAGTCATCACGCCTGGTCGTTTTGTACAACCCTCCACCCCAGACAGAGTCTCACTATACAATTCAGGCTAACCTTGAACTCACTGTGTAGCCCAGGCTAGCCTCAAACTTGTGGAGTTCCTCCTACCTCCGCCTCTCACATGCTGGAATGACAAATGTGCACCACCATGCCTGGCTTCATGCTCTTTTTAAAAAACAATTTTAATTTAGCTCAGGGGCATAAGCACCTGCCTTGCAAGTGTGTGGCCGTGAGTTCGATCCCTGGTACCGATTAAGAAAATAAAAATAAAAATAAAAAACAATTTTAAAAAATTTTGAGGCAGTCTTGCAATTTGGAATTTATGACCCTCTTTTGTCAACCTCTCCAGAGTACTGTTTTTTTTGAAACATTGTATTGTTTCATTAGTGTGACAAGCTGAAAACATATGTACATGTATATAAAAAATAGTTAAGATACTTATACTACTGATTTCTCTGAGTTCACTGAAGAGAAAGATTTATATCGTTGTTGTTCGACCAATTGAAGGCAAATGTCCTGTGCCCTGGGTGAATGATTTGGGATGATAATGCCAATGTATGTACCACTGCTGCCCCCAGTTTCAAATACTGTTGTAGCTGCTTCTTCTTTGTCGTTGTGGTGGTGGTGTTCTCCTCCTCCTCCCCCTTCCCCCTCCTTCCCCCTCCCCCTCCTCTTCTTCCTTTTCTTCTTTTTTTTTTTATTTTATTTAAAGAAAGACTTAGTTTCTTCTTGGGATGAGAGAATTCATCTCCCTCTGTTCGAGACTCCCCATGCTGTATTATGTTGAATTCTAAGTTGACTATGTCAGGGAGCCTCTGTAGCCAACTGTTACCTATCTGCCATCTTTCCTTTTCCCAGAGTACTGTGTTTATAAACACACACTACTGTAGCCTGCTAGACTTCTAAAAGTTTTGCTGTTGTGTGTAATATTTTTGTTATTATAGTTTTAATTTTCATTTCCTTGATTACTGATAAGGTCAGACATATTTTCATGTTGTGGCCATTTAGATTTCTTTCTTTTTTCTTAAGCGCTTTGGCCCTTTTTTTTTTTTTTGAGACAGGGTCTTGCTGTGCAGTTCAGGCAGGCCTTGAGCTCACTTTGCAGCCCAGGCTGGTCTCAAACTCACAAAGATCCTTCCACCTCAGCTTCCTGAGTGCTGGGATTACAGGCATGAGCCACCACGCCTGGCTCTTTTTCTTTGTTGTTTTTTTGTTTGTTTGTTTTTGAGACAGAGCCTCATTGTACTTCAGACTGGCCTTGAACTCACTATGTAGTCAAAGCTGGCTTCAAATTCACAGCAGTCCCCCTGCCTCAGCCTCCTGAGTTCTGAGATTATAGGCATGCACCACCATACTTGACTATGGTGCTTTTCTAAAGATTTTTTTTTCTTAATTTTTATGTTTTTGTTAATTTTTATATTGTTGAAATTTTAAATTATTACTTCTGGAACCTTTGTGTTTTGTTTAAGAATACTTTTGCCTAACCAGAAGTTGAAAACATTTTCCTATATTACTTTAAAATATTTTAGGTTTTGCCTTTCATGTATAGGTCTTTTAATTATCTGGAACTTATTTTTTGACTGTAGCATGAGTGGGGATGAATTTCATTTTTCCCCAGGTGGGCAGCCAGTTATTCTGATTTTATATTTTGAAAAGACTATTCTTTTCCTAGTGATTGAAAAGCCACCTTTATCATGTATCAAAGGTCCATATATATGTTTGGGTTTGGTTTTGGCACTGCTCCATTCTATTTACTTGTCTGTTCCTGTGCTATTCCATAGTACTGTATCTGTACTCTAGCTTTATATAAAGTCTTAAACTGTGATAAGGCACATTACCTTCCTTTTTTTTTTCCTAAGAGTGTCTTATCTTAATATTTTGTATTTCTGCATCAGATTTAGAGTTAGCTTATAAAGTTCTATAGGAAAGTCTATTGAAATTTAATGAAGATTGTATTTAATGTATAGATCAATTTAGGGAGAACTGATATTTTTGTAGCTTTGCATCTTTCAATTCATGAATTTGACATACTTGTTAAGATCTTCTTTAATATCTCTCAAACAATTTTTTCAGAAGGACCAAAATATAAATAAGCAGGAATGGATAATCCAAAAGGAGAGGGATGCTAAGTAAGATGGCAGACCTCATCACTGTGGTCAGAAGTTCTGAGCTACATTCCTAAACAGCTGATGAGCTCATTTTCGAATTTTAGAAGATACTGGCTATACTATTAGAAGTCTCCGTTTTTCACGTGTGTTGTGTCTCCACCACAGTATTTTTAAATCCTTTCTTTGATGTTTATCTGAGAAAGGAGTGTCCCTCTGAGCAAGAAGTTCCAGTATCAATCCATTCATGAGTACTGTGAATCCAGGACAATTGAGATTGTTGTGATTACAAATTCCTTTCTATCTGGAGTTTTCATTTACATTCCTCACAGCCAATAAGAGAGGTTCTGGCAAAATGACACCTAATTTCCTATTCAAAACATGAACTATAAAAATAATTGATTCTTAGAGCTGGGTGGGTGGGGGGTGGCTCATACCTGTAATCCCAGCACTTGGGAGGCTGATGCAAAATTATCACTATGAGTTTCAGGCCAGGCTGGACTACATAGTGAAACCCTGTCTCAAAAAAAGAAAAGAAAAGAAAAAAGGGATTCTTACATTCTCTCAGCTGTCTCACTTAACAGAATTTTATGGCTTTTGACAGATAAAGCCACTCTTTTATCTGAGTTTCTCTGACCTGCTCCTGGGAATTTGTTGGCTCACTGAGGCACTTCTTTATGGAACTTCAACAGCCTATAAAGATGTTGTCTGCTATAACCTGCAAGCAGTTGGACAGGTAAGTGATTCTACACTGACTGTGCCTTGCAAGGAAGCCATGCTCAGGTCTAAAAAGGAAGCAAATATCCATCCTGGGATATGGAGACTGGTATGTTTACTATAGTTCTATAATACATGCAAGCAATAGATTTCATTACTTTTCATACTACAAATATTTATTATAGACATTTTGGAAAATTCAGAGACGTATAGATAATTAAAAATAATTCAGATATATTCACTATTTAATATATATAATATTAATATATAATATATTATATATGGATGATCAGTGATAGCAAACCTGTTAGAGAGGAGTGCTCAAACTGTGGGTTTTTGTAACCCAAAACCCACTTATTGATCACAAAGTGCCAATACTATAAATAAACCTGAAAACTGAGGTTTTATTTTAGAAAAAACAACTTGTACATTGATTCACACATCTTTTGTCTTTTTTTTTTCTTTTTGAGACAGTCTCATTATGTAATTCAAGCTGGCCTTGAAATCACTGTGTAACCCAAACTGGTCTCAAACAAAGCTGGTCTCGTACCTCAGTTTTCCAAGTGCTGGGATTATAAGCATGTGCCACCATGCCCAGAATTTTTTTGCTTTAAAAAAACATATGTGTGGGGCTGGGGATTTAGCTCAGCGGCATAAGCACCTGCCTTGCAAGCAGGCGATCGTGAGTTCTATCCCCAGTACCGATAAAAATGAAAAAAGACAAAAAACAAAACAAAAAAAACATATGTGTTGTAAGTTTGCCACCACTGTACTTGATCTTTGGGTACATTTTTTAAAATAAAAGATAATACATTAATACTTCTTTTAATGTGCTTTTTATTATGTAACATATTTTGACCATATTTCTGTGTAATGAAATAAATCTTTTTCTAGAACATCTTTTGCAATGATTGCATATATTATAGGACTATAATAAACACTAGGTTTTCACAGTTTCTTTAGTATATAATGCTTCTTCTAAATTTCTGAAATGGCTAACTATCATGACTGCATAGTAAAACCCTGTCTCAAAAAGAAAAAAACAATTCTGAGGTTTACAGATGAAAAAAAGTAGAGGTTAAAATATAGTGTGTGCTTGTTGAGGGATATTTTTCTGGAAATTTTTACTAGAGAGGAAATTTCTTTCAGTTAAGTAAGAAGGTAATGCAAGTTGGTCATCTCTAATCTCAAATCTGAAATGTCCCAATAGCTGAACTTCGTGGAAAATTCCATACTTTACCTGATGTGATAGCTTGAAACAAAAATGCAGGCACACTAAATTATACAGTTTTTGTATAAAATTATCTTTGGGCTACTATGTGAAATGTAATGAATTTCATGTTTGTATTTGTATGTGTTTACAAATCTGAAAAAAAACTCAAATCCTAAACACTTTCAAATTTTTCTTTTCTTTTCTTACTGAATACCAAGAGTGGGATGTCTTTTAACTGGAATATTCTAATCCATGTTGTTAATGGGAAGCCACTACATTTGGCTCTTTATCCTGTTCTATGAACTTTGGGAAATAATGTAATTTAAAGTCTGACATTGATTTAATTTTTTTTCTACTGGGAACTGAACTCAGGACCTTGTACTTGCCAAGCAGGTGCTGTGCTGTTGAGCTATATCCCCAGCCCTGATTTTAAAATTTTTAAAGTTATTATTACTTCAAATATTTCTTCTGTACCTTTCTCTCTTTTTTTGGTAATCCTATTACATTTATGGGTGTATTATACTTTTTTCTTTTTCCTTTTTTATTTTCACATGTGTGTGTGTTTCTGCTGAGAACTGAACCCAAGACTTTGCGCATGCTAAGCACAAACTCTCACTGAGCTGCATCCCCAACTTTATGTTTCAAGCTGTTGAAGTGGTTCCACAGTTAATGGATGTTCTGTTTTTTCTCCTTTATTTGCATTTCCGCTTGAAAAATTTCTCTTTAATTATATTCATATTTACTCATGATTCAGTCTATGAATGTGTCGATTTATTTGATGTAGCCATTCTTTATTTATGTTACTATGTTTTTGATGTTTTGTATTTCTTTCTTTTTTTTTTTTTTTTTTTTGTCTTTTGAGACAGGGTCTCTATGTAGTTCAGGCTGGCCTTGAACTCATTTTGTAGCCCAGGCTGGTCTTGAACTCACTGTGATCCTCCTGCCTCAGCCTCCCAAGTACTGGGATTACAGGAGTGAGCCACCACGCCCGGCTAGTATTTCTTTTTTTAATTTAGTATTTTGTTTTTAGAGTTTTCATTTTTACATTCTCTGTTTGTTCTTATGTGTTGTCTTTTTTCCTTTAACATTAGAATTAGCTCCTTTGACATATTAATCATCATTTTAAACTCCCTAAATAATTCCAAATCTGATTTACATCTGAATCCAGTCTAAAGCTTGTTTTGTCTAATGATCTTTTTCTTGCATTTAAGCATATCTTGTAATGTTTTGTTGACAGTTGCATGTGATATAGTGAATAGTAGGACCTGAATAAATCAGGTTTTTAATCTGAAGTTTCATATTTGTATGACTAGGAGCTGGGCTGACTTTGTTTGTTTTTAATGTTTCTTTTGCAGTACTGGAGATTTAACCCAGGGAGCATTGTGTTACATCCCAGGATTTTTTTTTTTATTTTATGACAGGGCCTCACTAAATTGTCCAGGCTGGCCCTGAAATTTTAGTCCTTCTGTTTCAGCTTCCTGAGTAGCTCTGACCACAGGTGTACACCACCATGCCTGGTCTGAGTTGTATTTAATGTATGCTACACATTTCACTGACAAAGGCCTCAGTTTTGTGTAGTTTATTGTATATTCCCCTGTCTTGTCATCAGTTCAGACTAGGGAAGTGCACTTGAGATTTGATCAGCTTGCAGAAGGGCTACAGAGTCGTGGAAATATCTGAGCATGTTAAATTCTCTGCTGCTCAGCTTACTGCACACACTCATGTGCCAGTCTTCAGGCTCTTAGCCTGCCAATTCTCACAGCAGTTCTAGGCCACTTAGTTGCCCACCAGCCCTTGAGGCACTATACATTTATACCAAAATACACAATAGTGGCCATATGCTTATTATAATAAATAACCTTGGGTATATAAGCTATTTTCACTGGCTAGCATCAACCTTGGTTATATCAGTTATTGACACTGAGGCTTACAAAGTATACCTGCTCTGAAATCTGGCAGCCAGAAATCACCCCGTACCCAGCCTGAGTCAAAGTACAGCCTATTAGGCTTCATTTTTCCTTACATGCTCCTGTTGGTTTAAGTGTTTTTTTCTTAGAATAGGTTGTTTCCAGCTCTCTCAGTTGTATTTATACTGAAATCTCCTTTGATGTGATGGCAAGGTCTTGGGAAGGGGAAGTATTCTATAATTTTATGATGAAATTGTAGTGTCTTTTTTTATTTTTTATTTTTTTTACTATAGTGTCTTTTTTTATTTTATTTAAAGAAAGACTAAACAAAACAGAAAATGGGTAGAAATAATACATACTTTCAAAGAAAAAAAATAAACAGTAAGAAATCACTAGTTGATAATTACAGATTGTCCTCTTACAAATAGTTAATCAAGATACTAAAGTGGAGCATATAAAGTAGGGATTCAAACAGTGAGACTGCAACCAGTTCTGTTCAACTATCCAACAAAAACTTAGAAATACGGTTATCAATCCTATACACTTAAACATACACGCAGTTATCCATATCTTCAATTATTGAGACTGAACAAACCCAAGCAGGCTAATATCACTCTGAACAAAGAATAATACTATTGCTGGGTTTCACGTTATGACATTACAGGATCAGCACTGGGTACTTTAGTGTCTCTTTTTCTTTAGTATCTGTTCATTTCATCATTTGTCATAAGATCAGTTCTCATAAACTGTTTATAGATTCTACACATGCATGAGTCTTAACATGTATTTATGTCTTTTCTATATTAGAGGGAGAAACAAAACAAAGCAAGAAAAAAACATTCCTATAAACACATAAAATGAAAAAGACATATAAGACCATTGTACAAGGAATTGTGCCATAGTTCCTGTGTTGTCTCATGTTATCTTCAATAGAATTGGCTATATCATCAGACATAGTACAATTGAATATATCAGTACATAACAGTATTAATAAAAACATAACTTTTTTATAGTGTAAAACTTCAAAAACTGGCAGTTATCAAACCAGAATGTGTATTGTAGAGTCCTGTCATCTTCAGTGTAGTTGCCTATACTCTCAGACTTGATACTACCAATCATATCAGTTTTGAATAAAATCTGTCGATACCAAACAGCAATCAAACAAATAAGATTTAACTAAGATCAGTCATGATAAAACAGTATAAGTCATACAGGGCTCAAAATTAAGACAATAGGAAATTAAAGATGATTACTGTGCTATATCCTGATGTTTTGGGGATAGCTGTCTGTGCCCTCAAATCTAATGCAAGTAGACAAACTGGGACAGAATAAAATCTATCTAAGCAGAGTGGTGCAAGTAATGTGGGTTTGAAATCCTGATACACTACTAACAATATCTTCTGCCATCTTTTTTAAGACTCTCTCCCCTTTCACTTCCCCAGGGTACACTGTGAATTTTTGGGTCTGACCAAGACCCTTGGTTTTAAACTGGGGGGGGGGGGGAGACAACCTGCTATTTACCTAAGTGGTTCCAAACCTTCTGTCTCCTGGACTTGATCTCTAATTGTATTCCTTTACCTATTAAAGCCTGTCTTTCCAACCTATCTACAAATACTAGTCTAGTTGCTCCTATTACTCTCTGATTCTCTGTCACATAGAGAATTGTTTTCTCATATTTGATTTTCAGTCCATGTATTCTTTTTCATGTTAATTATATTTCTGTACATAGCATCTTGGTGGACCCTGCCTCCTGATTTACTCCACATGTGGTTCTTTTTTTTTTAATTTAGTGTTTCAAAGCCATCTATATTAGATATTATAACCAATCTTCTGTGCCTCATTTCTGTTATGCTCTTTTTCTGCCATCAGTTGTCTGTTTATCTTCTTCATTATGTTTTC